CACAGTGGTATTACCTGTCCACAACTCATCTCCTACAGTATACACAGTGGTATTACCTGTCCACAACTCATCTCCTACAGTATACACAGTGGTATTACCTGTCCACAACTCATCTCCTACAGTATACACAGTGGTATTACCTGTCCACAACTCATCTCCTACAGTATACACAAATATTGTATGAATACAAATGAATTCGGAGAAGCTAAAATCAACATAGAGATACAAAGATGCGCTGTTACCACAATAAAATTTCCATTCGGTTACTAGTATATGAATAATCAGATTATGTACCGGTAATCAAGTTTTATTTAATGATATACATGTACCGAGATTTATAAATCCTATACATAGATTTAATAAATAAAACATTAAGTTCAACAATCATCTATCTAGATAAGGTACGTTCCTGGTTAGTGAACAGTAAAGATCAAACAGAAATTTCTGTCGTAGATAAATATTGAAAGTTTGCACAGGTACCTTTAATCAAAAGTCAGATAAGGCAAGTTCTATGTCATATACACAAAATACCGGGAATGCAGATGATATATTATTATATCTAAACCATTTGTTTTTATCTGAAATCGCACCAACTGTGTGACAATGGTACCATATACATGTTCACGTCACGTTGCTTTACTTTGTAAATACTTAAAATTTCTACTTATCTTCAAGGTCAAATGTTATAAGGCCTATGAGGGGAACTGAGTGGTTGATATCTTTATGTCAATAATGTCAGAGGTGTGACCATGATATACACTTGATCAACACAATCTGATTATTCTAGTGTAATTCCATGTACAAATAGGTACAAACTTGGGTGGTCGGGTGGCACAGTGGACAACGCACTCGCCTTCCACCAAGGCGACCATGGTTCGATTCCCTGATCAGACGTGAAAAGGTATGGATTCACCTACCTGAGCACGTAGGTTTTCTCCGGGTACTCAGGTTTTCTCCGGGTACTCCAGTTTTCTCCCACATTTAGACCCCCAGTGCACTAACACTTGGGCCAGTAAAAAGTGATTAATATAAGTTGTAATATTTTTTTTTATTTTTTTTTGTAAAATAAATAAAGTTAATTGTTATTATATTACAAATAGGTACCAGCATTTAGGAAGTTATATTGCGAAGGACAGGTGTCCTTCCACTGAAAATTGCTGAACACCTCACAGAAACCTGACCTCACTGTGACTCCATGAACCATTTTATACTTCAGACAATATTTTTACAAGGTACTCATAGGATACAACCATGTCGGGTAAATAATTTAAGTTATCAACATCACAGTTTATGTAATTAAGGTATTGACCACAAGTTTATTTATTACCTGTCCTGGTGCTCATGGGATTTCATGTTGGAGTTCAATGATTTACATCTTGATTTCTCACATTCTATTGGAAAGTCATACCAGGTCAATTAAGTCATAGATATTATCTATAAGATTATTACGATAGAAAAACATGGATATACAGTTTTTCATATTTCAATGTAATTATGATCTGTTATATCGGAACATTAATATGAAGATGAGTTATTTTTGCCACTTTTTTAATAAATGGTTTAAAACGATTTTCATGTTTTATGGAAAGATATCAAAGATCATTCTTAATTAAAAAACTCACTGACATAAGGTGTTTTGCAACAGAAATTTCAAATGGACAGTTGGACCAAAAGACACAATGTTGCACCTTATACTTCTGTGAAACAGTTGTGCTACCTACAGACCACCTTTTGCCCGAGATGGGTGATTTTGTGACAGTCCATGCAGGTTGCTAAAAGTTTTTGAATTGATACAATAAGAATACTTACATGTAGGATAGGAAAATGTGTACGTAACATGTTCCAAATGGTTTTACTCCGCGTGAACGTCCCGTTAGTTAATAATGCATTGATCGTAATACATATAGTTAAAAAACTTCACAAATAAGGAAATATAGATCTAAGCTACACAATTCAATTCTTACGGAACTATTTCTAATACTGTAAGTCTTTTACTAGCACACTTCCATAAGGCTTACATAGTTATTTATTTAAACAATAACCATTATATATTTTCTGGTATCGATGAAAATCAATATAAATTTTATTTATGTAAAAGTATAGTGTGAAGCTAACATGTACTTGATTCACTGGGCCCTGCTGGATTGAATACATAAACAGACACAACACAATGCTTGCTGACTGGCATGGACAGGTATATATATATATATAGTTGGTTCAGAATTATTGCACTATGTCATTAGGTTATGGACAAGAAAACTATGTCATTATACTTGAGAAAACTATGCAAGATTATATTTATTTACGGACACACAGAATGGAGGAAATAAAACTAAGTCGTTAGATTCAGGACAGGGGTATAAAGTTGTCAGGTTCACAACTACAATACTAATTATCAGGTTAGGGATAAGATTGTATTCAGATTCAGAACTAAGGAAATAACGCATCAGGGTCATGCTCACAAACATGCAGGTAGGGCCTAGATCACAACACTGAGTTTACTTACTCTCTTACTCCTGTATCTCCTCCGCTGAACAGTAAACAGAACAACATTAGACAGTAAACAACAATAGCTAGAATATGATCTTAGCGACAAAACATTGTCGGAACAAAACCCTGGCAACAAAACATTGTCAGAACGAGACCCTGGCAACAAAACATTGTCAGAATGAGACCTTGGCAACAAAACATTGTCAAAACGAGACCCTGGCAATGAAACATTATCAGAATAAGACCCTGGCAACAAAACATTGTCAGAACCAGACCCTGGCAACAAAACATTGTCAGAATGAGACCTTGGCAACGAAACATTGTCAGAACGAGACCCTGGCAACGAAACATTGTCAGAATAAGGCCCTGGCAATGAAACATTGTCAGAATGAGACCTTGGCAACAAAACATTGTCAGAATAAGACCCTGGCAATGAAACATTGTCAGAACGAGACCCTGGCAACAAAACATTGTCAGAATGAGACCTTGGCAACGAAACATTGTCAGAATAAGACCCTGGCAATGAAACATTGTCAGAATGAGACCTTGGCAACGGAACATTGTCAGAACCAGATCCTGGCAATGAAACATTGTCAGAACCAGATCCTGGCAACAAAACATTGTCAGAACCAGATCCTGGCAACAAAAAATTGTCAGAACCAGATCCTGGCAACAAAACATTGTCAGAACCAGATCCTGGCAGCAAAACATGGCTAGAACCAGATCCTGGCAATGAAACATTGTCCGAACCAGATCTTAGCAACAAAACATTGTCAGAACCAGATCCTGGCAACAAAACATTGTCAGAACCAGATCTTAGCAACAAAACATTTTCTGAACCAGATCCTGACAATAAAACATTGTCAGAACCAGATCTTAGCAACAAAACATTGTCAGAACCAGATCTTAGCAACAAAACATTGTCAGAACGAGGTCCTGACAATAAGACATTGTCAGAACCAGATCATGGTAACAAAAACATTGTCAGAACCAGATCATGGTAACAAAAACATAATGGAGGATAGCATTTCCCTTTCCCCAAACTCTACACCCATTGATTGAATTTTCTTTATCCACATACATAGCATAAGTAATTGACTTAATTTTGATTCTTTTCTTATCACTTTTATCCAAGGTTTGTGTAAAAATTGGTGCTGACAGAACAAATACAACAAGAAATATGCCCAACACTAACTAAACACTTATAAGTTAAAAGTCAAAAACTGAAATGATTTGAAGAAATCATTTGTTTCGTTGCACTTCCTAGTTGGAATTTAGAAAAATGTAACTCCGGAACTAGGACTCACTGGGTGCAGCCATGTATAAAACTACTAGATCACGTAACCATTTAATAACATTTCTTTCTCATTGAGATGACATTACATTTCAGAACGTCAACTTAAAAGGCACTGAATATTTTAACTTAAACAATTTGTTTAAATGCACTTCCTAGTCAGAATTTATAAAAAATTTACCTCCTGAATGAAAATTCACTGTATACAACCATGTATATCACTTGTAGATTCTATCTAGATTATGGGAGATAGGAGATTCTATGAGGTGTAGAATTACCTCATAGAATTTACCCAAGAACTAAAGAACCAAGGACAAATCATGTAACGTAGATTAACACTTGATAAATAATACAGTATTGCGCGATATGACCTAACTTATATATAACCTTGTATTTGGCATTCAAATCTGACTTTTTACAAGCAAGGCATTACTTTTCTAACATACATTTTACAACAAGACAGAACCTCTCTAATCTAACATTTGACACACAAGGCAAAAGCTGTCTGACCAGACATTTGACAAGCAAGACAGAAACTCTATAATCTGATATTTGACATAAAAGGCAAAAGCTGTCTAACCAGACATTTGACAAGAAAATAGAACCTCTCCAATCCGACATTTGACATATAAGGCAAAGCTGTATAACCGGACATTTGACAAGAAGATAGAACCTCTCCAATCTGACATTTGACATATAAGGCAAAAGGTGTCTAACCGGACATTTGACAAATAATACAGAACTTCTCTAATCTGACATTTGACATAAAAGGCAAAAGCTGTCTAACCGGACATTTGACAAGAAAATAGAACCTCTCCAATCTGACATTTGACATATAAGGCAAAAGCTGTATAACCGGACATTTGACAAGAAGATAGAACCTCTACAATCTGACATTTGACATATAAGGCAAAAGGTGTCTAACCGGACATTTGACAAGAAGATAGAACCTCTCTAATCTGACATTTGACATAAAAGGCAAAACCTGTCTAACCAGATATTTGACAAGGTAGGACCTCTCCAATCTGACATTTGACACACAAGGCAAAAGCTGTCTAACCTTACATTTGACAATCATACAGAACCTCTCTAATCTGACATTCAACACACAAGGCAAAAACTATCTAACCTTACATTTGACAAACATACAGAACCTCTCTAATCTAACATTTGACACAAGGCAAAAGCTATCTTACCTTTCCTTTGACAAGCAAGACAGTACCTCTCTAATCTGACATTTTACAAGCAATGTCGAACCTCTCTTATCTGACATTTTACATACAAGGCAAAAGCTGTCTTACCTTACATTTGATAAGAAAGATAGAATATTTTAACCAGACAATTGACAAACAAAACAGAACATTTAAAACTGACAATCGAGGAATAAAACAGAATGAGTACATCCAGTCATAGTACAAACAAGCTGATACATTCTAACAAAATATTTAAGTCGAAATATTCAAACCTGAGACAAAAATTGTTCTCATATGAAGCCTTTTCCATTTTTTTTTAGTTTTAAGAAATAGGTTATGCATACATTTTAATGTCTTCATATTCATCATCAAGGAAGTAAAAAAACCAATGCATCCTGGTCTCTCTAAAAAAAAATATGAATTAATGTCACAGATTTTCTAGAGCTTTACATCAGCTTAACTATCAAGATGATAATGAAATTCCAGTGCTAGCTTTAACAGTTCTCACAATCTTCAGAACAAAATATAAACATTTTCCGGTAAGGGATTACATAGGGCTTATGTCAGGCCCAGTTCCTGGGTGATTTTCCTCAAGTCTTGCTGATGATGTTTACAGTAAGCTTAGGAGGAACTATCGAGACCAGCAAATGCAGCCCAGAAATCTACAATTGTGGCTTCTCTTCTCCAGACTTAAGGTTCAAAGGTGCTGACCTCTCAGACAGGGTCATAGAAGGTCGTAGGTCATGTGTCTAAAGGTGGCATTTCTCAGTTTCTTCCTGTTCACGGACACTTTAACAAAAACTAATTATCAAACTGGTTTGATATAGGATATACATTTATAAATGTATGTACAATCGCTGTTCAGCAACATTTAATGTGCGTAAGTAGAACAAAATTCAAGGTAAATGTAAAACAAATTTATACAATAATCAACCTGACTTGAAAGAAGATATCCTACAAATAATTCACACTAGATTATTTTTTATTTATAATCTGACAAAATTAGACAACTCAACAGGGGTATTACTATTGTAAAGCTATGACAACAGTTAGTAATATTCCAAACAAATATCTCAAAACACGACAAAGTTATAACAAGATATTCTTTAGAGATAGCTTGAAAGATAGACAAATCCTTGATAATTAAACACGGACACCTCAAAATAAGTAACACTTGTCAATGTAACACTGTTATTTAAGTAACATCTGTCCAAGGAATATTTCAATATAGGTAAGATTTTTTTAAGAGACACCTCAATATGAATAAGACTTCTCAAAGAGACACTCCAATATAAGTAATATCTGTCAAAGAGACACATCAATATAAGTAATATCTGTCGAAGAGACACCTCAATATAAGTAACATCTGTCACAGAGACACCTCAATATAAGTAACATCTGTCAAAGAGACACCTCAATAGAAATAGCATATGTCAAAGAGACATCTCAATAGAAATAGCATATGTCAAAGAGATATCTCAATAGAAATAGCATATGTCAAAGAGACACCTCAATATAAATAGCATATGTCAAAGATACACCTCAATATAAATAGCATATGTCAAAGATACACCTCAATATAAATAGCATATGTCAAATAGACACCTCGATATAAATAGCATATGTCAAAGAGACACCTCAATATAAATAGCATATGTCAAAGAGACACCTCAATATAAGTAACATCTGTCAGAGACACCTCAATATAAATAACATCTGTCAGGGAAACACCTAAATTTAAGTAACATCTGTCAAAGAGACACCTCAATATAAGTAACATCTGTCACAGAGACAACTCAATATAAGTAAAATCTGTCAGAGACACCTCAATATAAGTAACATCTGTCAGAGACACCTCAATATAAATAACATCTGTCAGGGAGACACCTAAATTTAAGTAACATCTGTCACGGAGACACCTCAATATTAGTAACATTTGTCACGGAGACACCTCAATATAAGTAACATCTGTCAGAGACACCTCAATATAAGTAACAATTTGTCAAGGAGACAACTCAATATAAGTAACATCTGTCGAAGAGACACCTCAATACAAGTACGATAACATCTGTCAGAGAGGCACCTCAAATTAAGTAACATCTGTCAGGGAGATACCTGAATATGAGCAACATCTGTCAAACAAACATCTCAATATAAGTAAATTTGTCTCCGTGACAGTCAATAATATGTTACATTTGTAAATATGTTTTTGTATACAATTTGATCATACAGGCAATGAGAGGAAACAATACTGTCTGATTGATAATCAGCTGGTTATGAGTCAATTTGTAACAGCTTGTGACTTTTGACGTATCACAGAAGTAAAAAGTCATTGAGAAGAATACTATTTTAGCACTAAATCAATTGGATCCCCCAATAATACGAAGCTGACACTTGACAATCACTTTAAACCTGCACTCAGTCGTAAGTGGTGCATATCATTACATTACTGTATAAAACTGTGGGCGGAGAGATTTTGTATACGATGTCACCAGTGCATTTTATGGTATTTCATACAGGGATGTGAATATATTCTCAAGTACACACTGTAATATTAAACATAACATCATAGGTCCAATATAAGAACACCACATAACTCATGGTTAGACCAGTGTATTATTGTAGCTATGTTCTAGCATGCTCTTTACAGAGCCTTGTACATCACTAAAGACAATACACCCCGGACTGGTCGATTTATAAATATTGAAACCAGTATGATATGACTGCCATATAGACTCATCAGAACAGTTGGTCCACAATAACATAGATAATTTAAGTCAAATCTCAATAGGTTTCATGTAAATAAGTGGTTGTTGACATACTACACACAGGGACCCGAGAATTTGTTATATGGGCGGATTGGTCGAGTGGTTAACACTCTGGCCTTCCAAGCAGGTGGCCAGGGTTCGATCCCGGAAGTTGCCGTACGCATGGAATATTAGAGAAAGTGTTTTTCTCCTGCCCACACAACTCCAACAACCTAGGTGGAGTATGAAATGGTCTGGGGTGGGTGTTGCGGTATCTGTGCTGTAGCATTCAAGTGAGGTGGCACTATAAATGATACTGTTTGAAGCACGGTCCCACTACAAACAGAACACAATACATCTCCAGCACACACACAGGCATACACACATAGGGAGATATTAGCCAGGTGGCATAGGAATAGTAGTTAGCGCCTGATAAGGCAGCTCCTGCGTATTCCTCAATATTGTATTGATAAATATAAATGCCTATTCAATTGACTTTATTAAAATTGTATATCTTTATACTGTAAAGCGCTTTAGAGTGGCTTATGTTAGCTAGATAGGGCGCTATATCAAATGTTGTATATTTTTTTATTTTATTTTTTAGCAGGTAAACTGTAGCAAATTTTCAGGTCCCTGTAGTTTACTGTGATATATTCACATGCACACATACTACACACAGGGACCCAAGAATTGGTTATCGCATGTTAACTGCAAATTTTCAGGTCCCTTCGGTATTGTAGTGTACATGCACATATAGTACAGTGTGGCCAACAGTATCTATGTATTGTAGTTTTTCTATTGTACTATCAAGTCTTTTGAAAAATGTAATGTTTGTAATATTATTCAGTGTTCTAGTATTTTTTTGTCTTTTGATATTGTCAATGTCTCTGTGTCACTGAAGACACATTTGAACTCTTCCAATTCAAATGTTGGAACAGTTCATTATGGTATTTCAGGGGTGAATGAGTTAAGCTTTTCTTTCAACTTTTAAGGATCTCCATACCTCTGCCAAAAACTGCAACTTTGAATTAGAAACTTTATTTTTTTGGCCTTGATAAATCTGACCAGTTTTGCAAAGAAACCCATTCCATGTAGAACTTTTATGATTTTTTTTAAAACCAAAATGATAAAGAGAGAACTTTTATGAGCTCATCTACCTAGTCTTATGGTAGCTATGATAGTACCCTGGCTCAGTCGGGCTAAAGGTATAACCAAAACAAAATTAAGGGAATGTTACTGCATGTATGAAAAACTATATTGGAATTCTCTAGTGTTTTTTGCCTGTAGTGGGACAGGGATCCTTAACTCATTGACCCCTAAAATTTCATAATGAACTATTCCAACCTTTGAATTGGAAGAGTTCAAATGTGTCTTCAGGGTTGAATGAGTTGAATAAAGATTATATTATTGTATTGTACACAAACACTTCTACAGTACACCAATTTATGGTGTTTTCGAATTTTTGTGATCGATTTGTTTCAATGGATTACCAGAATTCTTCCCTTCATTTCAAAATAGTCATCTTTAAAAACTCAAGCATCCTCTGCTTTTCAAACACTTAGATATTTCCTAGTCACATATATCAAACTGTATTAGATTTGCATGTGTTGTCCTGCAATGAATCGGCAAACTGAGTACAACTTGTTGTAGGGTATCATTTCGTTTACAATTTCCTAGATACCATAAAAGTGAAATGAACGTTAGTATCTGTATCTGTATTTCTTGTTTCTGTTTCACTTTACAGCCGAGCCGGACACTAGATAGTGTGGGTGGGGGTTCAGACATTCCTGGCACTGTGTCCAGTGTATCGGCTGTAGTGATATACAGCACTCTGGCTCTAATGCTACTAATTCCTTACTTTGGCACCATCTCAATGAATCAGCCATCTTAGACGATATATCCTATCACTTCTCCATCCCCCTATAATACAGCACACTTTCCTCTGTATGGAAACATATTCTCTAAGAGTCAGGTTTATTCTCTTCTTTGTATATTTATATCATTTTCTATATCCAAGCTTGAGATACCCCTTAAACTATAAATACGTCATTTCATATCAATACCCTATAAGCTATACCATATACAAATACCCATTCTAGATAGCAATCAGGCCAGACAAAAAAGTATCTGTGTTTCCTGTATCATGTCGGAAACATTTAGAGTAGGTAACCAAATGCTATTTTAAACAAATGATTTTACTTGGTTTAGATAGGAGAGTGATCTTGACTTTAACAGTGCTTCTTTGAAAATTGCCTTAAAATGTTTAGGGTAGGCACAACAAATTAGGGTCGGTAAGGTTACCGGTAACACCAGTTTTTGTTTGTTTGGCCTCATCCATCCTATATCAAAACCCAACCTATATAGATACCCAACCTATATAAATACACTTCCTATATATAGATACCAACATTATATAGATAAATACCCTATATACACTTCCTATATTGATACCCACCCTATCAAGGTTACCGTCTTTTATAGACACCATCATATAAAGATATCCACCCTATATTGATACCCTGCTTTAAAGTACTGAACTGCTTGCAGATGGCATTCATAGCCAATAACTGGACAAATGCATATTCAACTAAGTGTGCTAGTACTTCATGTCAAATTTGCATTTGTCCATTTGGAGTTCATATTGCCTATGAATTCCATCTGAAAGCAGTCAAAACTTCATTATATTTACTATTTGTGGAAAATGCTCGTCTCATAGAAAATGTAAATGAAGTACTTAATTCAAGTAAGTGTATGTTCGGTATATTCTTGTTCAATGAGTTGAACAACAACCATCTGTTAAGGGCGAGACAGTGGTACCTGATGTTCCTGTTATGACATCATAATAATTGGGTCATGGCATTCAATGCTGATATGAATGTCATCTGAATGTGGTAGGGTTATCAGATACCAGAATACCCTAAATGAGGGTGTTTTCACCCCCAAAACAGCTAGCTGTACCCTCCAGTTTTCAAAAATAGCCTTTTGTAACTATGTACCTAGGGGTACATATCTTGAAAATGTATAAATCATACCCCAAATGTTACATTCAGTGGAAAAATTGGTTATACAATGTATGGTAGATATATAGATACCATCCCTATATATATTAACCCACTCTTTTCGTGTTCATCATTACCCTAATCCCTCCTCCTTAATTAAGACTGTACCCATTGTTATAAACTGCTGCAACTGGTTCTTCCCATCATAGGCACTTGACGCTTTGTTATGTCAGATTAAAAAAATATATATATAAGTATACATTTTTTTTTTCAAAATTATTATCTGAGAATTATCTGAATAAAAAAAAGAAATGACAATTTTATTTTTTTTATTTTTTTTAATGTACATGCATTCGATCATTGGTTCGAATGCATGTACATTATTTTATTTTTTTAAATCTGACATAACAAAGCGTCAAGTGCCTATGTTCCCATAAACATTTGATAGATTCCTCTACTTTACAGAACATCCGTCTCTCACTCTAGGATTACGTTGGTTTCCTACACTGCATCTAGACTTAACAGTTGACTTCTATTCCGTGTTTATCTATGATTAAATACGGTAGCACTTGTAAACAGTTTTTAAATCTAACTGGCTCACATACGGTATTTACAATATACGCATCGCAATGATGCGGCGAAACTTACCTCCATCCTTACGAAAGTGTGAAATACAATTTTGACTTCGGCAAACTTTCCCCGACACGATCTAGACAACTTGAGGGAAGTCGCTGGTAGACGCTGCACACATCATAACCGTTGTGTCAAAAAGATAAAAACAGGCACACTGTGTTAATACACTACGCGTGTATCAATTAGAAGATATCTAAAACTGATATTAAGGTGACCTCCGACCTGTGGGAAACTTCCGGGACTGGATCGTCCATGGCTTGAGATGGGGAGCGGGATGTGAATCCCCCGTGCTAATCCGTCAATACTCCTGCAGTGCCCGTCTACAACTTCTACTGCCGAGAAAACGCCACAAAAATTTGCCCTCCGTGAGCGTCTAAATACACACTTGTTCCCTGTGGTTTTTCCCTCCTCAATAAGATCAAACGTAACTCGGTGTACGCGTGTTTGTTATCCCCGTCTACATTGAATTATGACACCCTACAGTATTTTACTTCCGCGTCTACCTGGGTCATCCGACCTAATTTCACGATAACAGCATGGGTGCTTTATGGTACAGTAATGTATGTCATAAATGTTTGATAACTGTAGTTTAAATTTTTATTACGTGTCATTGCCTCGGTTATCGTGGGACCTTAACTAGACCACAGACTTGCATATACTATGATAATGGGCTGTTATGTCTGTGTATAAGAGACGATATTTAGATCCCATATTCTACTCAACCATTCAGTCAAAACGAAACTAATTTTTAAAACATGCAAGAGATAGATTGGGCAGCTAGACGACACTTGACCTGGAGCACTCGGAGGGTTTTAAATATTGTCGCTGAGGAATACTCAAGGCTGTCGTTCAAGCTGGCTGTCGTTCAAGCTTTGAAAATACTGACGTTCACGTTATTTCAAGTGCGCATTTCAATCGGAGTAATTATGAACTTCGTAGACTTTAATTTCATTTTACATTTTAAGTGAACTAAGATGAGATGTTCCGGTTTTAATATAGTGTATTTACTTTCAGGTTTATGCAGATGCGTGCAGGTATTTTTTTGTCGAATGTTCCTTTGGTGTATGTAGCGTGACTTCTAGCAAAGTGTTTTTGTAAGAAAATTAAGGTTTGGGTTCAAATTCTTCATTAACTTCTCATTGACGATGACAAAGATAAGAAACGAATTGGGAATTTTGGAAATCATTGCCCAATTTGGCCTCAGTGCGTTCCCCAAGATTAAGAGTTTTTTTTTAAAATGTTGTGGTTACTTTACTACATTAAGATGTACCTTGCACGAGTTTCTATGTAAGCCCACCTATACACGTACAGTTTACCTTACACTCGAGGATCACAGGGACCTGCGAATTTGTTACAGCTATATTGGTGCCTAAACTAAGATGTTCCGAGTAATTTTACATGTTTTAGGGGTTTAGATAGAATTGAGGGTGGCATTTTTACCGCAAGGTAATCTAAACCCATAAAACATGTAAAATTTCTCTGAACGCCTTGTTTTAGGTACAAATATAGCTGTACCAAATTTTCAGGTCCCTGTGTTAAGGATGCTATCTGCATCCAATTCCCCTTTCAGTTTTTAATATCATTGACAAAAGGGTATCCGAAACTCCAAGTGCTATCCGAAAAAGGGTATGCGAAAGCCGGTACAGGGAGTATCAGTATCAGAAAAGGTTATCCGAATCGGGTACTAAAATGGGATATCATGATGAGGTGTTATTTTTGGGTATCAAATGAGTTTTCTTATTAAAATGACTATGTCGAGGGACGCGTGACCATTTACATGCTAATTCTCGGTTTGTTAGGAGGAGTTATCTTTCTTCCCGTGTGACTTTTTTAGTTTAAACATATCTCATTGATATATTATATCGATAACCTTTATTCAGCAATAGACACAACTGTCTTTGTACCATAAATACATTGCATATACAAGGATATATGTGGTGGTACAATGCATTAAATTACATAAATATATAAATCGGTGACTTTCCATACTTAAATGCAGGTTTCACGACATCAGGGCGGACTTTACTCCTGATTAAATAAGTTATTGTTCCGTATCTCATTCGCTTTACAAATGAAAGCAGCAATATTTTTCAATGAACTCTTGCTCGTAGACGATATTAGTTCCAGGAACTTTGGTCTATTTTGGTGATGACAATACCTTCTCTTGATATACATGTGTATTTATAAGGTACACTCCATAAGGAAATGATACTCGTCCTCTAAAACACCACAAGGGCTACGTGTAGTACAGTACGATTCTCATAAGGAATAGGGTTCGGGTGGTGCAGTGGATAGCGCACTTGCCTTTCACCAAGGCGGCCAGGGTTCGATTCTCCGATCGGACGTGACAAGGCTGGGGTCACCTGCCCGACAACGTGGGTTTTCTCCGGGTACTCCGGTTTCCTCCCACACCAAGACCCCTCACGGGCACACAACCGGGCCAACAAGAGTGATTAATATAAGTTGAAATAACTTCATAATTGTTGTAAAATAAATAAAGTTTAAATTTATATGTAAACATTTGGCAAGTCAACATAGAAGTCAACAATATATGAGAATACTTCCGGTGTAGTGATAACATAATCAACTAGACTGCATCCTCGGTCATTCGCGAAAGTTAACGATCTTATACCCGCGTCTTTTCCTACCCTACCATTCAATATACGTAAACCAGAAGACTTACAGAAATCAATTAACTTCAAACCATTGCTATTAACTATACCCTTATCAAGTGAATACCGCTTACCCATACTGTCCTCTACGTATTCGTCATCTATAGGTATAAAGTAACTTATATCACTTTAAACGAAGTCAGATAACTCCTTTGTTCTAGCGTTCATGTCACCTGTAATTATAAAATCACAAGTGTCTTCCTCGTCATTAACAATATCAATTAATATGTTATGTAAGCGGTCAATAGTATCAACATCTAAAAAAGCCCGTCTTCTGGTATTTTCAGGTAAAACATAGCACAAAACGAGATATACATTTCTTTCAAAACCAATGAAAGTTTTTTTTTCCATTTTCAACACAATTATATCGTCGGCATCTTTAACAACTAATTCAATAGTGGTCACTATCATCCTCGTCGTGATCACTCACAGCCTTAGAGAGTATTCTCTACTAATACCATAGCCAGACTAATCTCTACTAGTACCATAGCCAGGATTATCTCTACTAATACCATAGCTAGGATAATCTCTACTAATACAATGGCCAGTATACTATCTACTTATACCATAGCAAAGATACTCTCTACTAATACCATAGCCAGGATAATCTCTACTTATACCATAGCAAGGATACTCTCTAGTAATACCATAGCCAGGATTATCTCTACTAATACCATAGCCACTATCATCCTCGTCGTGATCACTCACAGCCTTAGAGAGTATTCTCTACTAATACCATAACCAGACTAATCTCTACTAGTACCATAGCCAGGATTATCTCTACTAATACCATAGCCACTATCATCCTCGTCGTGATCACTCACAGCCTTAGAGAGTATTTTCTACTAATACCATAGCCAGACTAATCTCTACTAGTACCATAGCCAGGATTATCTCTACTAATTCCATAGCTAGGATAATCTCTACTAATACCATAGCCAGGATAATCTCTACTTATACCATAGCAAGGATACTCTCTAGTAATACCATAGCCAGGATTATCTCTACTAGTACCATAGCCAGGATACTCTCTACTAATACCATAGCCAGGATTATCTCTACTAATACCATAGCTAGGATAATCTCTACTAATACCATAGCCAGGATAATCTCTACTAATACCATTGCAAGGATACTCTCTAGTAATACCATAGCCAGGATTATCTCTACTAATACCATAGCCACTATCATCCTCGTCGTGATCACTCACAGCCTTAGAGAGTATTTTCTACTAATACCATAGCCAGACTAATCTCTACTAGTACCATAGCCAGGATTATCTCTACTAATACCATAGCCAGGATAATCTCTACTTATACCATAGCAAGGATACTCTCTAGTAATACCATAGCCAGGATAATCTCTACTAATACAATGGCCAGTATACTATCTACTTATACCATAGCAAAGATACTCTCTACTAATACCATAGCAAAGATACTCTCTACTAATACCATAGCAAAGATACTCTCTACTAATACCATAGCAAAGATACTCTCTACTAATACCATAGCCAGGATAATCTCTACTTATACCATAGCAAGGATACTCTCTAGTAATACCATAGCCAGGATTATCTCTACTAATACAATGGCAAGTATACTCTCTACTAATACCATAGCCAGGATTATCTCTACTAATACAATGGCAAGTATACTCTCTACTAATACCATAGCCAGGATTATCTCTACTAATACCATAGCAAGGATAATCTCTACTAATACCATAGCCAGGATAATCTCTACTTATACCATAGCAAGGATACTCTCTAGTAATACCATAGCCAGGATAATCTCTACTAGTACCATAGCCAGGATAATCTCTACTAATACCATAGCAAGGATACTCTCTACTAATACCATAGCCAGGATACTTTCTACTAATACCATAGCCAGGATAATCTCTGCTAATACCATAGCAAGGATATCTCTACTAATACCATAGCCAGGATTATCTCTACTAATAAAATGGCCAGTATACTCTCTACTAATACCATAGCCAGGATACTCTCAACTAATACCATAGCCAGGATAATCTCTACTAATACCATAGCTAGGATAATCTCTACTAATACAATGGCCAGTATACTATCTACTTATACCATAGCAAAGATACTCTCTACTAATACCATAGCCAGGATAATCTCTACTTATACCATAGCAAGGATACTCTCTAGTAATACCATAGCCAGGATAATCTCTACTAGTACCATAATACCATAGCCAGGATAATCTCTACTAATACCATAGCAAGGATAATCTCTACTAATACCATAGCTACCATAGCTAGGATAATCTCTACAGCCAGGATAATATCTACTAATACCATATCAAGGATACTCTCTAGTAATACCATAGCCAGGATAATCTCTACTAATACCATAGCTAGGATAATCTCTACTAATACCATAGCAAGGATAATCTCTACTAATACCATAGCTAGGATACTCTCTAGTAATACCATAGCCAGGATTATCTCTACTAATACCATAGCTAGGATAATCTCTACTAATACCATAGCCAGGATACTCTCTACTAATACCATAGCCAGGATAATCTCTGCTAATACCATAGCAAAAATACTCTCTACTAATACCATAGCCAGGATACTCTCTGCTAATACAATGGCCAGTATACTCTCTACTAATACCATAGCCAGGATAATCTCTACTTATACCATAGCAAGGATACTCTCTAGTAATAGCATAGCCAGGATAATCTCTACTAGTACCATAACCAGGATAATCTCTACTAATACCATAGCTAGGATAATCTCTACAAATACCATAGGCAGGATTCTCTCTACTAATACCATAGCTAGGATACTCTCTAGTAATACCATAGCCCGGATAATCTCTATTAGTACCATAGCCAGGATAATCTCTACTAATACCATAGCCAGGATACTCTCTACTA